ACGAGACCTTACCGGTCTCCTCGAGTTAATATCTCGTGTAAACGAGTGATTCCTGGCAAGTCTGAAAAGCCTTTCGATGAAGCAAACTCGATATCGCCTATGATCTTAGCTGCCCTGTTCGTGATCTCGGACAGTGGCAACTCGAGCATGAGCCAATGTTTGGCGAGTTCGACATCCTCGAACCTGCTGATGGCATCGGATATTGGTCTTGGTTGGCACTCGTTCTAAGCGATGTGCAAGGCCACGTCGATTGTGCCAAGTCCAGTGTGCCGCGATAAGACAATTCAACGGTTGGTGCTTACCTACGCCCTTGATCAGGGCGTGCCGGGATGCCTCGTTGTCGCAACACTGGATGTAGAAGTTTCCCAACCAGGGAGCGAAGATCAACGGGGCAAGGATTGCAGCCCACGCCTCAAGCAAGTGGATAAAGGCTTGGTCGGACGAAAATTGTTGTAAGAGAACGGAGGGAAATCGTCCCTGAAAATAGGCCGCGTCATGTGCATCGCCTTGGCGGAAACACACTGCGGCCCATCCGTTCTCGATGTCCTTCGTCTTTTCGGAGTTCCAATTGGGAAGGTCTTCATCGCCTGGGCGGTATACCTGGCCTCCCAATTTAAAATATGCATCGGTGTCGATGACACTGTAGCCACAAGATACCGGGTTCCTCGGAATGGTCATTGGTTGGCGATGGGAAATGATGTCCTTGAGTGCCAACAATGACGACCTCGTTGGTTTGTCGATGTTGTACGTGTTGGAGTTGGCGCTTTCAGAAGCGCCCGTCCCACTTTGCCGAACAATCTCCCCGTGAGGAAGTAGCACTTGCCCGCCATCTTCCGTGCTTCTTCGGGAGATAGTCGATTCGTGGTCAGGTACTTGTCGAGCTGTTGACACATCGCATGAACTCGTGCAGGACGCGGGGTAAGTACCAGATTTTCGTCGTCAGAGGAGATGAGGACACCCTGTATTTTGTGTTGTACTTCGGGGGGTTGTCGTTTGCTGGGCTTCCATGCGAGACAACCGTTGTAATCTTCGAAGGCCTTGAAGCTGCTATCCGCGGAGCTCTGGTCTTCCATGGAACCGTAATCGTCGGTCGACGTAATGTAGGGCCGGGTGCAAAACAATAATTCTGCTGCACGCCACAAGGACATCGCCGAACCTGTTGTAAGACCAAACGCTAGCTGCCGAGCCGAACAGGAGGACGTTGTGGCTCCAGAGCGCGGGGCCCATCGGAGTCAATAATAGCACATATGCTTCGCGTGGATCATGTAACGGAACTTGGCGGTAAGCTCCGTCGTGGTCATGTCCCCAAACTCGAAGGTGCGTTTGTCGTTGTCCTTCGAGGAGTGCAAGGCCGAGGGGTACGAAGTGGTCCGGCGCGTGGCGGTAAGGTTGGTCATGCATCGTGCAGGTTGCGTTGTGTCCACTTCGTCGCCAATCTTCCCCTCGGCGTATCTTGGCGTTGCCGTCACTACCCGTCTGTTCGATGCTGAAAGCCATCGCGACGAAGGGGTCGTCGTGGGGCAACGGGAGGATCTCGTCGAAGCCTTGGCGTCCCGGCGCAACCTCCGGGGCTGGCCACCATTTCGGCGTCGCGGAGGGACCGTTCATCCGACCCATCTTGACTTCTGATCTCGTCAAGTATGAGTTCCCAATGGTCATCGATGTTGTTCTTGTCGATCTTGTCCGTGATGTACTCGGGATTTTTGTTGCGAAATTCTTCGATGGGAGTCGGTCGGAGGTACTTCTTGTCTTGTCGGACCTGCCAGAGTCGGAGGAGGTGGATCAAGACTGGGATCTGTGTGACCGATTTCCCATGCTGATATGCTCGTTGTACATGTGGTGGTAAGGTGTTGTACCAAGCCTGGATGTATTCTTATAAGTCTTGTACGAGGTCATGGGTGTCGGCAATAACGTCGTGTTGGAATCGAGGTAGAGGATGGAAAAGATGCCGGTGATCCAGACACCACCGCAATGTGGGATCGAGGGTCTGCGGTGTGCGATTGGTGTTGCGGTGTAGTGACCAACCCAAGTGTTCTGTCCAAGAATATTGTGGCATATAATCGTGTCGTCCTTCTCGAGGCGGGGGACCGAAGGGCACCCGAGTACTGTTCCACAAATTAACGACTTTGTCCCAAGCGGACTCATTTTGGCTTCGAGGTATGCCGGCCTCCGCGGTCCCCAGCAAAACGAGAAAGAGAAGCCAAATCGCTGTCGGGAGATGCCAAGCGTTTCCCAACGCGATGTCTCGCTTAGTCTCATCGCCGGAGGCCAGAGATTCGGTGTATCCTGGACGAAGTCCCTGCCACTGTTCGCGAAGAGAGGTAGGTGCGGTGGAAGAAGTCCCATCCGACCAATGTACCAAAAATTGGTCCTCATACTGCCACGGTGGGTATCGTTGGTGATCTGCCTGCCAACGTTGCATAGTCTCGTTGGAGATTTGTCGTTGTTTGTGCAATTGTGGTAGGGGCCTACCATGTGGATCGATGGACGGCGTCGTCAGGCAGTGGAATAGTTTCTTTTCACGTTGTAGGCAAGTTGGTACTGAGAAGCCAATTGTTAAGATCGGTCTCTGCAATTCGTGAGCCATCGGGTTGTGTAATCGGCGCCACCCGTCGTCAGTGGTCCTGTGACCATTTGGAAAGTTTGTTCTCGATGTCTTCCCAGTCCGCGGATGTCCACCACAGGCGTTTCCGATGTACCATTTTGCCACCCGCCGCGTCGACGACAATCGGTTCCATGGCACGACGTTCTCGATGACCGTTTCGACGGGGTTGCCGCGGAATTTATGTCTGATCTGGCGTTCGATCTCCAACATGTGCTGGAAGAGCCAACCGGAGCTGCCTTCACATCCCGGTGGGTCTTGTCTCATTGTAGAGAAATCGGGGCATGGCGGTCCCGCGGGGACAAGCAAAATGAATTGTGGGCGGGCGACGTTCTTTTGTATGAGGTCGTAGACTTCGTCGACTTGGAAATGTGAAACATCTCCCATCGGCACAGACCCAAACTTGTCGTGTGCGAAGTTGGCGCAGTCTTGGTCGATTTCCCACGACAGTGTCAACAAGACATTGTCGCAGAGTTGTCGTAGTGCTTCGGAAGCGATGCTGGGGACACGATCAAAATCGATTTGTTCACGTAAGGAGTCGATGTCATCTCGGACTTTGTGAACTTCTCGTTGTGTAACCTCGCGGACTCGTTGTTCGCTGTGTATGTAAGCCACCCAGACAGTCATCGGTGTGCAGTTCTCGAAGATGGTCTCGACGTCGTCCTGGCAGGTCTTCAAGTCTTCAAAGTGTGACAGCACGGCACCAAAGCCGTAGAAGCCACGAAGCAAGTCAGCTCACAGGGAGTCGTAATGGGCAGCGATGGACGACAAGCCATCAATCGCAGCCCTTTCCCACACCAAGGCATCAGCACGCGCGGCATGGCAGCGCTCACGCCCACTTCCTGCAGCCCGCCTGGACGCGCAAGCCCGAGCCGCGACATCGGCGCGACTGTTGAGGGCGCGGGCCAACATCTCGCCGCCAGGAGGCACCAACCACCGTGGTGGGGCCATCTTGCCATGGCTCGGCACCCAGTAAAAAGACAAGAAGAAACCCATCGAGATGCAAGAGTGAAGACGCTCTCGAACTCGCTGGACCAGCATGCAGGACTGACCTTTGCCGTCGAGGGCCAACAAGGCAGCTTGACAGTCGCAGACGACGACAATGACGACAATGGAGCCACGGCGTCGGCACATCTGCGCAGCTTCCAACAAGCCCAAAAGGCCCTCAACCTCAGCGCGGTACGGGGATTGGTCCTCGGCACAGATGCCGCAGGCGAAGGTCTCTCCACCCTGAACTGCAACCGACCAGGCACCTACCTCAGTGACGGTGCTGCCATCCGTGCCGACATAGAGAGTGGCAGAATCCTCAAAGAGAACGTGCAGCTGAGTCGCAAGGGCCTCGATGGTGTCGTCCCGCCCCACCACCGCGGGCGGAGGCGGCTGTTCGGGCACAACCTTCGCGAGGAGTCGCTCCTCACATCGATTCACAGGTGCAGCGCAACGTTGCGTACGAGGGCGAAGCGATGCTGTCTCCCGGGCACTGCCACAGCAGGTGGGGCCTGCTAGGACGAGCCAAGCCGCGTTCACAAGGAGGCATGAGCGACACAGCAATGCCTTGCTTGGCCGCCTTGGCCCACACTGAGCATTCCGTGGACGCGACTGTCCGCACCGTAAGCCTCCTTGTGGCCTCGAAGCAAGACCAAACTGCCACGAGGAACTCCGGGAAGTAAAACACCTCTGGCCAGTCCCTGGTCTCCCCGATGAAGAGAGGAAGCGACCCTGTTGGTGGAAGCCAAAGCCCGAGCCCTGTGCCAGTCACGCAACCACTCGCAAAGAACGTCAGGAGAGTCCACCCCAAGCTCGAAACAGCGAAGGTTTCCCACAGAGTCACGGTGCCGGATGACAGTGCCCATGCGATCCGTCCACCAGCCAAGTTCACGAAGGACCTCCGCCGCGAGGGGCAGCAGGGAAGGCCACCGCTTCGCCGCAAAGGTTAAGTCCGCGTCCTCCAGCCAGACCGGGGGCCTGCAGGTCAGCGCGATGGCGTCCCGGAGAGCGGACGAACCATCGACGAGCAAAGCTAGGGCAGCATTCCCATCCCATGATCTCCCACACAACGATGGCCGGAGTGTCACATGCATGCTTGAAGTTTGTCACCGCCAGGATGGAGTTTCCGAGCCTAGTGACCTCAGCAGCGGGGATGGAAGCCACTGCCCCTGCCCAGCAAAGCATCGGCATGACCAAAGACTTTATGTGAAAGGACCGCTGCCACATGCCATGGGCGACCGCGTTGATGCACTGCGCACGGACGTTGGCAACGTCGCGGGCGTACCGCGCCAGCACAGGAGGCGCTCTGCCAGCGATGTCCACGACGATGCCCAGGATGTCCAGCGACGGCCGAAAGGCGTAGCAAAGGAACCGGCCATCTCACGGCCCTGACTTTAAGCTCTGGCCGCAAGCTGACACTTGCGGGTGTCGCAGCGAAACTGAAAGGCCACATCGACTTCCTCACTCCAGCAGCCCAGTTCCAGAAGAACTCCAAAAGCTCCTGTCGTCGACGAAGGCGACAGCTTCAGCGTCTCCAGTAGATACCCAGGAGGTCCATGCCCACATGACCGCACCGAAGCACCGAGCCGATAGGCAATGCTAAAGACCGAGATGGGGCGATGCCCGCCCGCGGTCTTTGGCACCAAACAAACACGCGCCTCCCGCCAGCGCTTGGGCACCCGGCCAGACGAGTAGACAGTCTGCCATAGTGCCGCGAGGGCTTCCCAGAACTCAGCTTGGCCGCAGTGAGTGAAAGTCACGTCGACCTCGACGGCCGGGACCGTAGGGAGCCGAGCAGATTGTCGACGCCATCGCAGGACACCTCCCCCGCAGTCCATCGAGGGATCCATTCAGCTTCGGCCTGATGAATGATCTCGACCGTGTGCATGGCCGTGGTACTCAAAGTCGGACCCTCAGGAGCACGAGGACACAGAGGCCCCGTCCGAAGGGAAGCGCGGCGCTTGATCCATCTAGCCTGCTTATGGCCGATTGCCACCGCTCAAACTTGGCCTCGCGAACAAGTCTGGCCTCGCCCTCGAGCTTATCATAATGCCGAACAAGGGGACCTGCTCCAACCAACTGTAATGCTCCCTCAGGAAAGCCAAGTCGCGGGCCGCGACCTCCCGCAAGTGGTGATCACCGGGCGCCAGCTGAGCGAGCAACGGCGGAGGCGTATCAAAGCTAGTGGTTCAAACGAGGTAGAAGCCTTGCTCCGTTGCGCCTGGCCGCGAGGTGTCCAGGAAGCAGATCGTGGCAGGCCCCGGCTCGATCTATCACCATGCACCAACAAGCGCTCGGCCGTGTCTGAAAGAAGCCGCCATGCTCCCTCCACGTCGCCACGATCGAGAACGGCCTGGTACGCATCCGCATTCCAAGCCTCCACCCACTTTGCAGAAGAAACCGGAGTCGTAGACAAGGTGGACCGCATCGGCGAGGTGTGGCCTGCGGGAACCTGGAACTGGAACGAGTAGCCCACCGCCGTGTGGTCCGCGATGCCCGGAGAATGCCACACAGACGAGGCACGAACCGATCGGGACCACCGGCGGTCCCCGCGAGAGGACCTTGTGCCATGAAGGGCTCGTCAAGAAGCCGGCGTAGGCCAGCAGCCAGCCTCCGCACCAGCCGCGGATCATCCGCCGTCGCCGTGAGGTTGAAGTCACCCAGGATCACCCAAGCGACACCACTCGTCTCGAGGCAGGCAACCGTTTGCTCCAAAAACACAGCAGCGGCCTCCTTATCAGAAAAATAATTGCACATGCTCGCGACGATCAGCTTCTAATAGCCCACATTGGAGGCATACTCAGGCAACCGCCGTCACTCTGCTTGTGTCGGGCATGTCAAGTTGGACGAGGCGACCTGGGTATGATGACACCAAAGACGTACGATACATCCCTTGATCACCAGCATCCCCCAAAAATGCAAAGAGCCCTTTGGACCGCCAATTGTCGATCCATCTGGGCCCGCTCGCCAGGTTGATGTCCGTCTCTTGTAAACACAACACCTGGCAGCCCGAATTAATTACTGTAGAAGTCAGCGACGCTCTCAAGCTTGACCACGGCATTCTTCTCCACATTCATCGTCATGAGCGCCGCTGAACCTTCAAGAGGGACCATCACTGCGACGAAACGCCGCCAAGCGCAAAATGCGCATCATCAAAGATCCTGTTGACAAGGGCCGCGTCGATGCCGTGGTGCAGGGCGGCGGCCTTCTTGCGGTCG